TAACAGCAAAGTTTTAAAGGGCATCTTATGCTAGAAAATGGCAACAACTATAGGAATAGGTTCAGAGTTCCCAAGTGGTCATCTGGGAATTCCTGCTATCTCACTCAAGAAGGGAGCAGACACACTACTTGTGCTGAAAGAGGTACAACTATCAGTGCTGCCTTCTGGCTGGGGTGGGAAACATCAAGGGCCCATTATTTATGGCACAAAGGGAGTGGGTTACTGGTGGACATTTGTAATCCCATCCTATGGCCAACCTAACAGATTCTAACGCTACCAGTCCTCTAGGACCAATGGGGACCGAACCATCCCTCTTTACTTTGTTTATATCACACAGATCATTGTAACAATTGCTGTAGTGCAAAATAATCTCTACCATGTGCAGACGTAGGGTATGATTAGACTGTTGAAAGTGTTGTTTCATAGTGCAGAATCAAAAGACTGTAGAACTGGAAGTAACCTCCATCTAAACCAAAACCCTTGAGAATTCAGGACACCTGGAGCCAAAATATCCCTGACAGATAGCTGGCTTAAAAGTTTCCAACAAAAAGGGAGCCTATCAGCTGCCAAGGCAATCTGCCAGTTCAACAGCTCTTACAGTTAGCAAGTTCTTCCTGCTTACTGAAAATCTCATTTCTTGCAGTTGGAATCCACTGGTTAGTATTAGATATATAGTAAAAATTAACTATACAAAAAGGGACTTTTACTCAGAGTCATACAATGTGTCCAGACATACCTCCTGCACCTCTGCTGAAATACTGGAGAATTTTACAGATTTCATAACAATGATCAAATTATTCCCATTCATATTTGCTGTACTAAACTGTAACAGAAACTTGTTCAATATGTTAGGTATAAAAATGAGGTGATAAACTGAAAAACAGATTGATCTTTTTAACTATGTGTGCTAATGACTTCATTAATGACATGTCTGCTTAGGACAGGTATTATAAGTCCATTAAGTAAACAAGAAAAGTTGAATAAAACTGCCTTGGAAAATTTCTGGTAGATTAACACTATACTCTTTTAATGGTGATCTACAATAAGCACTGTACAATTAACAAAATGAACATTCTAAATCCAGCTAAGACTTTAAGAAAGTTCAATGCAACATGAAGACAGTGTAGAAAGCTAGTGAATAAGTGTGGTTCAGGCCTCAATATAAATTAAGCATATAATTTCAAGCTAAGATGTGTATTATTACCTCTTATTTATGAACAACAGCAGGAATGTAAAAATCAAAATCAAAACGAGCAGTTGCATATTCTTTTTTGCTAAATATTTTGTTTCCACAGTCAGTGCAAAAGTGCATAGACAACAAAGACATTCCATTAGCTCAAACAAGTTAAATGCATCTGAGCTTCAGCATATACAGCTGAGAGAATGTGGAGAAGGAACAGAGAGAAAAATGGGGGAAAGGTTCAGAAGCCAAACAAGCAAGCAATGCTATCCAAGAATTATTTTGAAAACGCAGCTTTCTTGAGCATAGGGAATGAGTCATTTTGGATGTATCTTACCTCTTTCTCCTAAATCCAACATGAGTAGTTTTCAAATGCAGGAAGCATTAGTTTCCCTGGGGGAATGTTGGCAGGTTATCCTTAACAAACCAGATTTGCTAGCCATCAAAACATTCATACTACCCTGAGGTAGAAGAAGCTACAAGGAGGGACATTCTTCTCAAATTCCATTTCCTTCAGAAAGTCTCCCAGGATTCACAATTTTGAGATGGTGCATATATAACACCAACTTAATACAGTGGTGCCTCGCTAGACAATGTTAATCCATTCCATTGAAATCGCTGTCTTGTGAAAACATTGTCTAGCAAAAAGCGTTTCCCCATTGGAATGCATTGAAACCCGTTTAATGCATTCCAATGGGGGGAAATAGCCGTCGTCCAGCAAATATCACCTATAGGGAAGCCATTTTGCAAAGTACGGATCAGCTGTTTAAATCACTGTCTTGTGAAGCATTGGTCCCGAAAACACCCATTTTGCGAAGATCGCCCATAGGGAAGCCATTTTGCAAAGCCACCGATCAGCTGTAAAAATCGTTGCCTTGCAAAAAAACAGTCTGTGAAGCACGGACCAAATTATCATCCAGCAAAATCCCCCATAGGAAAAAACATTTTGCGAATCGCTATAGTGATCGCAAAAAGTCAACGTCTATCAAAAAAACGTTTTGCGGGGTAATCATTTTGCGAGGTACTACTATATTTTATTGGCGGATAAAATAATCACGAGCAAACCTTGAATGCAGTCTCCCTTCTGTTGTTTCCAAAAGTATAGCTAATGTTTAGGCCAGTGGAAGGAAACAATTTTAACAGGGAAGAGGACACAAAGTTTTAGAACAAAGTTATTTCCCGATATCATTTGCTTCCTGGACGAAGCACTGGGTCAAGGTTTACTATCTGGCCATTCAGCCACTAAGCTGTCTTTGCTCCACCATGGCCTTCCCTGCATAGATAATAGCGCAAGGGATACACATTTCCCATCTGGAAAGCCACACATTCCTGCTCTCTGAACTAAAGTATTAAAACAGAAGTACTTTGTGGAAACAATTTTTTTAAAAAAAATACTAAGAACACAGTTTTTCTCCTTCTTATGAGACTACTGAATTTTGAAAGATTGGCCTAGTTCACCCATAATGGGAAAACATAATTTCACATGAAAGAAGAGTTAGAAAAGGTGCAAACCATGCTTTAACAAATACAATCCCTTCAATTAAAGGAGTTTGACAGGGCTATGTTGTAGCACCTTTAATTCTTTAATTTTTACATTAATGATGGAGTCTCAAAATAGTCTTTACTGTATTTTCATGTGCCTAAAATCTTAGACATATTTTTATATGTAGATGATATAATCCTATTTTCTACAACACAGGTATATCTGCATAGACAGCTGAGAAAGTTTAGTGCTTATTGTCAGCAAAATGACCTGGCAATTAACAGCAATAAATAAAAAAATGTATTCTTTAGAAAAAAAGGGAAACATTGTAAGTGGTTTTCAAACTCGAAAGAAACAGGGTTTGTACTTGGGCATATTTTTTCACCTACTGTATCATGATCTCCTCAGATAAGAGGTGGGGAGAATGAAAGCATTTACTTGTGTTCAAACACTGAATACGCTATTGAATTATACACATCCTGCTTCACTTCAAATAGTTAAAAGGTACATAAAGCAAAGATGTTGCCTACCTTAATCTTTGACACAGAAATCTGGGAAGTGAATAATAATGATGAAAAGGACACAGAATCAATTTTTACCCTTGATCATGGGAGGAGCAAGAACCTCCCTAGTCCAAGAGATAAGAGCTGAATTTGGAACGGCTTCTGTGTCAGATCTTTGCCTTCTTAGGATATTTAATTATTGTAAGAAGCTAGTTCAGATGAGTGATGCCAGGCTTCCCAAGATAAGTTTAAATGAACACCTGATTATAGCTTCAGAAAAATCCTGGTTCTTTAATTTTTCAAAACTGCTTTCATATTATGGTTTCAGTGTCGAGGCTGTGTGTTCAATTTCAGTATAAGGAATGCTCTCCAAGCAAAGAGTATCAGATAGAGCAGTGGTCCCCAACCTTGGGCCTCCAGATGTTCTTGGACTTCAACTCCCAGAAATCCTGGCCAGCAGAGGTGGGGGGGAAGGGTTCTGGGGATTGTAGTCCAAGAACATCTGGAGGCCCAAGGTTGGGGACCACTGAGATAGAGTATCAGATACTAGGTCCTTTCAAGGAGAAAGGCAGGGTAAAAATATTTTAAACAAACAAACTAATCAAAGCTCAATTGGGTATCACTGACCTGCTGTCCATAAGATCTATGAGATGGTTGGCAAGGGCTAAAATACAATTCCAGGAGGAAAAATACTTGTCATTCTCATTTTTTTTTATTTTTTATTTTGGTATGGTCTTTACTCGTCTTGGTTTTGAACAAATGGATACAAGGATGCAACACTGAAGATTTCAGTGCACCCCAGTACAAGGTGCACTTTGCATATGAGGGGCAGCCAAAGTGGAAGATCTTGCCCGCTATTTATTGTATTGCCAGTGATATTCCAGTATCAGAGAACACTATTTAATCCCTTTCCTTCACAGCATGACAAAGTGGGATGTTGAGAACACACAAAACTTCTTTGTACAAGAGTCCAGTCTGTGACACAGAGGACTGCCCTCTTTACAATTAAAGCAGCCACTGTCAGGCAAAAAGAAGAAGAAAAAAATGCCTGTTTAAATGTGCCATGTCATATTTTTATCTCTAGTGGGGCTTTATTGGAATAATAGAAGCTTATTTTACTATAATTAGCTGTCTAACTAAATTGTACACACAATTTCAGTATTTTGTAATTTTAATCTTTTCTGAGTTGAATGCTTGCTCTTATATTTATTATTAGTGTTTATTTTATATGAATGTGAAATGGACGGAAATCTTCTTCAACACCCACTTAAAGAAAGATGAAAGATTATATCGCTGTGACTTCTCGAGCTCATATGCTTCTCTTTTCTAGACAAAAGCTTTAATTTTTGAACAAGTTAAAGTAAAACCCATTTTTTTTTCTTCCAGGAAAAAGACACAGTTTTTCCCAGTTTCAGTGTAATGAGAAACTGTAGTAAATTCAAAAGCAGAAGAAAATACATTTAATATACTCTCATGGCAAAAAGATTATATCGCTGTGACTTCTCGAGCTCATATGCTTCTCTTTTCTAGACAAAAGCTTTAATTTTTGAACAAGTTAAAGTAAAACCCATTTTTTTTTCTTCCAGGAAAAAGACACAGTTTTTCCCAGTTTCAGTGTAATGAGAAACTGTAGTAAATTCAAAAGCAGAAGAAAATACATTTAATATACTCTCATGGCAAAAAGGGGGGGGGGGACAGCCAGAAAGAAACTTGGAGAAACCCAAAGCTTGCCACATGTTACATTCATATAAGAAAAAGACATGCATCCCAATTCATCTGAACCAGATTTCCAATTTCATGAAACCCATCTTTGTGCATTTAAAACAACATTTACCTATTTTTTTGTATTTATTCGCCACAAGATCTCCTAATCCAACCAGTTTCCAAAAGCTATCATCCCAGCCTGTCTCTGATGAATACGTCCACTTGCATACCAATGTACACAAAGATCTGTTAAAAAAAGAAGAATGGGTTACGCTTCTACGTCAACCGAATGCTAAAGAATTACAAAGAACAATTATACAATTTATAGGAAACCCTGAGGTTTGTTTTATGTAGCAATTTTAACATGTTTCATTACTGAAATATTTAAATATTTCATTAAAAATATAAATTCAAATAAATTCCAAGCCCATGGGATCAGGCACATTTCTGACAAAGTCAGCTATAGCCCAGGAAATATGGCACTATAATACACAAGACTTTGTTATCAGCAGCACCTCAATCCCTGAAAGCCGATGAGTATTTAGAACACACAGATTTTTTCAACAAGCCATAGTTCTCCATTATCTATGACCAGAGGTCCCATATTCAGACATAATGTCTGAAATCCTGTTGCTCTGTGAAGTAGATCAAAGCTACAGCAGGCTCACTGAATCACTGTGGAATTGGTGAGTCATCTCCTTGGAAGGTTCAGCTGATTCAAGGAGCCTACTGTAGTTGTGACTTACTATGCTAAGCAACAGGATTTTGGCCAATAAGAGACTAGAGTTAGTTTGAAATAAAACAAGGGGCAAATTGATCTTTACTGAAGCAAATATGGAAGTGGAGATAGGTTTTAGCTTCTGTGGCCTCAGTTCTAAGAAGCTGATTACCTCTTATCTAGGCCCATTCCAGTCTGGTATTGCAGCTGAAACAATATTTACCAACTTTATGGATCTCATTTATCATGAGAAAGACAAACCAAATGGGCCAATTACTCTTACTTGATCTTTCAAAACACCACTGATTGATTTGGTGGATAGGTAGATAAAGATACTTTTCTACCTTGGTTCTAAAATTATCTTCAGGACAAGTGACATTAGGAGAATGGCATCAAACAAATATATCTCAGCTCCTCACAATCTTGTTTTGGAGTGTCTCCATGCTTTAATGCTATTTAATACCTACATGAAGCCACCAGATACAGTGGACCCTCGACTTACGGAATTAATCCGTATTGGAACGGTGGCCACAGGTCAAAAAGTCCATAGGTCGAGGGTCCATTTCCCATAGGAATGCTTTGAAAACCCATTAATTCGTAATCGGCTTGCATGATCGCCGGCAGCGGGCACCTCCAAGATGCCTCCCATGGCGACGAAGAAGCCCTAGAAGGCATCCGGAGGTGCCCTTGGCTTGCATGATCGGCGGCAGCGGGGACCTCCAAGATGCCTCCCATGGTGACGGAGAAGCCCTAGAAGGCATCCGGAGGTGCCCTCCCTCCAAGCCACCAGCGCTCCACCAGGGCGAAAAGGGGCGCCGGCTGCTAGGCGGAGGACGGCAGCAGAAGAGCAGGGGATGTGAGCCCATGGGGAGGGGGGAAGGAAGAAAGTCCACAGAAGTCATGCAAGAGCAACACCAGAAGGCAAGACTGCCTCTGCGTGCGCCCCCACCTTTCTCTACACCCTCAAAAAGGGAGGACGAAGGGGAGAACCCAAAGGAGGGAGGGCGCCCTTCAAAGGGAGCCTGCACCCCCTCCAATCTGGCCCACAGCACCGGCCAGCGCTCTCTGGGGAGCAGATCCCAGGCACAGGGATATGCCCGGACAAAGTCCCAGCAATGTACATGGAGCCAAGGGAATGCCACTGCAAATCCTTCTCTCCCACGCCCACGCCGGGGCTGTTGCCGCCAAGGACCTCCTCCTGCCCAGCCTGCACTTACCTCCCCTTCCAACTGCACAACTCGCTCGAGTACTGCTGCGCTGTGCAGCCCTGGTCCAGGACCAGCAGCCCCAGCAAGAGCAGGGCAGCGGTGCGAGCACAAGCCTGGGCGCCTGGGCTCTCCGCATGGTCCCCGCTGGGCTGCTCTGGGACAGATCCGGCGCACAAGGCAAGGTGGGAGAGCAGTGCCTGGAGCCTGTGTTACATGGCGAGAGGAAACCCGAGCCAGAGCAAGCCGCTAGTCATGCCAGCCCATCCCTGTTGCTGCGCTCCCCGTCCTCAACCGAGGCCACTCTGCTCAGCAGCGCACTCCTTTTCAGAGCCAGCGCTGGCTCAGCGTTGCAGGCTGAGTGGAAGGCAGGGAGGCTCCGTGCCTCAGAAACCACCCACTCCACAGCCTCCGAAGCACTATCGGCAGCAGCGGGGGGGGGCCGCCGAGATGCCTCCAATGGTGGTGGAGAAGCCCTGGAAGGTATCCGGAGGCACGATCAGCAGCCTACGGACTGGAAGGGGGAGGCGGGGAATGCGCCAAATTTGAATTTGGCGCTTTCCCCACCTCCCCCTTTCAGTCTGCAGGTCGATTCTCCGGCCACAAGTCGAAGTGAAATTTTGCGGCAAGTTGAAAAGTCTGCAAGTGGAGCCGTCTGTAAGTCGAAGGTCCACTGTACAGATCTGGAGCAAAGTGTTATTAGAAAGCAGATGCCACTCAACTTTGTTTATCTGTACCAAGAATGCTGTGACTCGAACTGCTACTTAAATGCAGCAGTGAGCTAGGTGAGAGTTAGCAAGTGGAAACTTGATAAGACAGAAGGCAAATGGCCGCAGGTCCAAAAATCAGTGGAATTACCTTTTCTTTGTAGCTCATAGCTCTAGCACTGCTGCTGAGATCAAACCCCATGACTAAGAGTACCTAGTACCAAACCTTGCTGGTATGTTATTGACACTTGTTCCTGTACAGGTACAACCTTGTGACCATGGTCAACACAGTGATAATATCAAGAGCACATTATTTTAATGCAGAGTGGGCTACTGTAAACCTGCAGGACACATGAGAACCTTTGTTTCTCACCAATACTCCTCCTAAAAACATTCTTAGTTTTTTTTTTTAAAAAAAAAATGCTCAGAAAGTCCCCTTCTGACCTCTAGGCACCATGGAGAACAATTTTGCCATTTTTTTCAGGGGCCCCCAGAACTTGTGCCCCCTCAATAGCCCAATGTTAATTTTTAAAAATATTTTTTGACCACTAGAGGTCATGAAAGGGCTTTTCCAGTTAAAAATCTTTTAATTTTTTTAAATTCACTTAAAATCAAAGTGTGCTACTTATATATTGCCCCATAGCACTTAAAGCACTTTCTGGGCGGTTTACAGTTTAATTATGCAGGCTAGTTTGGAAGCTGTACCTAAAACAAAATATATACCGTATTTTTCGCTCCATAAGACGCACCTCTCCATAAGATGCACTAAATTTTTAGAAGAAAACAGGAAAAAAATAATCTGTTTTCTTCTCCTAAAAATTGGTGAGCCTT